GATTTCAACTTGGATTTTATGAAAATCAGATCAGGAATGAGGATAACAACCAAAAATGGATTTGCTTGCCTTCATCAAAACTGAGCTAATAATTGCGACCTTTATTAGGAAAATGGAAAAGAAGGTCAATCAACTTTTATACAACGAAAGGGGACTCAGACCATACAAAAAGCCACACAATTTTAGTCTTCACACCTTCAAATTGATGATTGTTAATCGAAGATATGAAGACAAAGATCACTTGGCCCTCGCTATGGTCACGTTCTCTTTCAATGCATCGAATTAAGTACTTGGTCTTGTTATCAGGACGATTAAGTTGGATCCACCTTTTCCGAGGTTTTGAGGTAAACCTATTTCTGAAGGTTGTTAACTTTGGATCGTTGTTCACGGCTATTTCTTCATAAGATAGGCTACATAAAGATGACATTTTGGGAATAAGCGGACGAAAAGCGACCCCAATTCATGCAACAAATTATCCATACCGTACAGCTCCCTATAAAAGTATTCTTGAATAACATTTTGGCTGCGAAAGTGATAAATAAAACGTTTTTGTGGATTCCGCCAAGTCTAGTAAACAAAATCTTTATAAATAAGGAATAAGATCTCTCTAAATGTCAAGAGTGATAGAAGATAAGACAAAGGAATAATATTTCGGCGAATCAAATATTACGAAGACATAAATAATCGGTACAAAATGGAAGGAGATAAACACGATGGGTGTGAAAGGCAGAATATTTAATGAAATAAAAGTTCATGTAAAAAGGAATGGGTTGATAATTAGAAGCCTTAAAATTAGGGCAAATGACGGATCTAACCTGTCGTCGAATCAGACGGCTGAGCACGTTGATAATATAGCCTGTGAGCCGAGGATGCATAGCCAGAGCTTGCATAATGGTGCGCATCATGAGAGTTGGGAGAACGGGTTGCTCTACGAGCTGCTCGATTGCAACACTCAATCTGTCTTGGGTGAAAAGACGACGCTCCGAGAGACATACGCGACAAGCACGTAATACACTTCGGATATCAACCATCGGAGTTTGAACTTCTATGGAAATGGTTTAATGATGAGCATAAGGGAAAAAACGGGAGTTATAAAGGGAAGAGCAATATAATTATAATTAGAAGGTGGATGGGAGTATAAGACAGTGTCAGGATAAATTCGAAAGCATTATTTTTTTAAATTATGAGCCATTTTCAACTTAGGCCTCATGTGATGAAGACATGATAATGGAGTTTTTTCACTATGATGTGAGTAAATCTCACAATGCCAGTGAATTGAGGACTAAGACCTTGCTTCTAAAAAGATAATTTGATTCAGGGTTGGCTGCCTGGGTCTTATCAGCGCCCCAGACAGTAATAGAAACCGACTAGTGAATGTGTACCTTAGACATGTTACGTTTGACACACTATCACGGGTGTCACTGGGTCTCATAGAGTAAATACGGCAATTCAGGCGTCTCCTATATAACATTTAAGGTTGAATTGTCAATAGGGCAAGCCGGCCTTTTGCCATTACAATCGCCTACATTATTTGTAATTATAGGTGTCGAGGTTATCAGTAGATTTTAATGAAAAGCTGTAGCCAAACTAGGTCGAATAAGGTCACCGTCAGTTTGTCTGGTGTAATGGGTATGCAACGACGTATAAGGCTTACCTGAACCAAGTTGTCCTGATGCTGGCTGGCGGACGAATTCAAGCAAATGAATGGCTACTAAAAGTTCCTGCGGTGTCATTGGTCCGAGGAGAGGAGGCCCCACTGGTGGTTGCTGATTTTCATGGCCGGGCTTACCAACAAGGGGATTCGGGGCGTGAACAGTAGATATGCTGGCTGAAAGGCGAGTTAAATATAGATGGTAAGAAGCCTATAGGGTTGGTAACCATAAAGTTGAACTATTTAATAATAAAGACAATAAAATGCGAAATAAATTATCAGAGGACTGGAGAGAATAATGAAATCAGTATATTTCCTATATAAATAAATGAACGAAAGGATGATTGGAAAGCGATAAGCATTTGGAGGATATAAGACGCACCATAAAGTAGGCGAGTGATGACCTCCTTAACGACCTTGTCGGAGAGCAGAACTAGCCGAGGAAGAGCAGCCACCACCTCGGGTTTAGTGAGCCCGACCAGAACTGGAATAAGACAGCGAACATCATGCACTCGGTCCACATAGAGACGTCGCACACGATCCACTATGCTAGATGGTGGCATTACGATACTGAGCAAGCCAGCAGGCGTAGGGCTAGGAGCAAAAGATGTCAGCTGACCAGAGTTGGATGGGGATTCAGTCAGTAGATGAAGCATTCGAGTAATCAAGGTTTCGGAACCAATCGGGCAGTTGTCAATTAGTGCATGAATAGCTGGTGAATAGAGGCCGATTTGGCGCAGCTAAAGTTAGAATAAACGTGAGGAATGTAAACTCGATTTTAAAAATTACGGATTAATGGTAGTAAAAGAAATTTTTTAAAAATCTGTTAAAATTAATAAATAACGTCTAAGGCAAAAAGGTATAGTTGAAGCGAGGATAAAAGATAAGAAGTAAAAGATAGATAGAAGTTGAAATATGTGGAAGGGAGAATGGAGAGTGAAAGTAACGATTCAGGAAAATGGACCTATAAATAAAAAAATATAGAGAAAACAGCAAACGACAATGAACTAAGCATATAAATTATGGTAATAAATATATTGTCTGTAGAGATAGGAAGTAGGCTAATAATTATCGTACCGGGGTGTCAATGGCCCGAAGAATAGTACGCTTTACCAAAGGCT